GAAATATAGTATAAAATGAAACATAACTGATTTTTTATAACCAGCATTACTTACCTTTTGATCTGTTTGGTAATGGATATTTTTATTATCCATTATATTCCGTATGGTTTAGGTCAATACTGGTGAAATTAGAGGAATAAAATAAAGGCGTGGCAATTATTAGTAAAACCAATGCAAGGGAATGATCCTTGAATTAACAACAATTATTAACAATCACAACACAATGGTTCCATGAAAACATTGTGAGGCTAGTCAATTATTGACAATCACTACGCCATGGCTTTATAGTTATAAACAATGATAGGACTGCGGAAAAACCTTAAATAGTGAGTTTTGGCAATCATTAACAATCACAGAGCCACGGAAAATACTCAATTAAATGAAGCTTGGCATTTATTTATTATTATAACAGCGCAGTGGAACAAATAATAAAATAGTGCTGCCTTCCAATAATCAACAAACTCTGAATTAGTGAAATTAGTCAATTATTACCAATCCCTGCGCAACGGATCAATCATTAAAAACTAAAGCCTTACAAAAATTGACAATACATGGTCCCGAAACAATCGTTAATTTCAGCAATCGTGGATGCACCATCAGCAGCGTAAGCTCATTCCACGGCGATTGTTAAGCAGCTTTTATCGTTTAAAAACTCACGGCGGAATGTGGCTACCGACACTGGATATTCAGAAGCTGTTCAAATAAAGAATAATATTGTGCTTCACTTCCAAAACATGAATCTTAAAACTTTAATTGGAAATATGACACCAAGGCTGAAAGTAGATCAATTTTTGGAATATTGTACTCAGACAAATTTCCGGGTCGTTTTATCCAACTCCTTTCAGCATGAGACTGATACATCCATCTGCCGGCCAAAACTGGGTTGCGATTGCCCTTTAAAAGCAGGAAATACATCGCTATTTGGTCAAAGTCTTTGCATTTTTCTGAGTGTAGGAGGGGTTATTGGTCGCTACTATGTTGTATGTGTGTTATAATAACATTAAAAAAATGTTTAGTATTTATGTCATTATTGACATAATGAGGTGTTTTCGGCTTCGATTAGGCCATGTTGGTCTTTCGCTAATTTTTAACCATGCGGCCACTTGTTGATTTCGATTAGAATTTTTCACAACCAGTTGTAGGTTTCGAACCTTCAATTCGCTGACCTCGACCACTAAGAACACGGCCACCCTGGACTTATTGTTCATATGTGTGTCTGGCTGTCGTCGAGTGAGGTTGTGCGGTGCTTGGTTCCTGTTCCTCGACTCTCCGTTTCACCAAACTTCTGCTGCCGTTCGTATACTGCTTTGCCTATTTCCTTGTTTTTGCAAACTGTGATGGCTAGTGATAATGAGAGTGATACCAACTCCACCTGTTCTGATGCTTCCATTGGTGTCGGTAGTGCCTCGATGCGCGAGGATTTGGAAAAGGTGGACAAGTTGCTGTCCTTCCTCAAAAACTACAGTCCTGAGAAGAGGAAAGCAGGTAGACCAGGGAAACTTTCTAACGTCGCTGCTAATACAGTGAATTTTGACAAGGTTATTAAAGTAGTGGATGCAATATACTCCCTCAATGTCAGAATGCTGAGCAAGCTTGAAAACCTAATATCTGCGAATTCGAAACTCAAGTGTGACGTCGACTTGATTGTTGAAAAGCAGGACACCTCTCCGAGTTATGCTGACGTGGTGTCTCGTAGCGTCTCATCACCTCAGGGATCCTCTGTTGAACGCCGCTCTGCTGCCCCCAGGAATGACGCAGGTGCCTCCAGAAATGGTGTGGTGAAATCTTTGGATCCTTCTATGTTGCGTTTGGAGAGACGACTCGATTGCGTTGAGCAGGAATCTCTTGTAAAAGTTATGGCCTGTCGTGGTGGTTTTGTCCTGTAGCAACGTCCTGCCTGACTTCTTTGATCAATCCACCTAAGAAATAGTTCATTTTTGTGTTAACTTTGTCATAGCCTTTTTGCTCCTTGTCAGTTCAACACCAGCCCTGTACCTGTAAACAATAAACTTGAATCACCGCTTACTCCAGCCTTTTTTGTACTTTTTGCCACTATTATGTTCATACTCGTCACCTATTACGCCTGCGAAGCTTTTTTATAGCTTATATAGGCCTTTCACCTGGAAGCATTTATTTCTAAATAGCATGTTTATTTTTCTCTTTCTATTGAGTCGTGCTGTGTTGCTTCTGTGTGTGAAAGAATAAAGAATAAAGAAGGATAAATAATTATGAAGTAATTGTATTTTATCAGATATTAATAGAATGAAGAGCATTATTTTCTTGGATTTTTGAAAAATAGACGTGCATCAAAAAGAAGCCATCATTTTATTAAATAAAAAATTTTATTCGCACAATATCCTGATTTGTTTTTTTATTCTTCGGTAAATACGATAGGAATGAAATTTCGGTAGAATGCATTAATAAAACAATGTGTAACAAATTTCTCTTAACACATGTATAATTAAGACGGAAAAATAATTATGTTCAGTAACCAAAGGACGAAGAAATGAACAGCGCAGTTCAGAAGCTGCGAGGTTAACACGACCGAGGCACGCAAGTTATGCCTTATGCACACAAGCAAACACAGAAGCTATTCAATAAAAACATGCGAAATCTATATTAAAATTCGTATATTCCTAGTCGAAATTCAGATTCCGTTCATGGGCGCCGGAGGCTCGCCATAGTCGCCTTAGAGGCAAATCAGACGCCAATCGGCCGCCTATCATATTCGGCTACTAATTGGGAGCCGTTTTCCGGAGTCACATGCCCAAGGAGCCGAATCTGCATTGGACGGCCGAAATAAGCGGCTGAACACACTGTCCCACGCTCACCCTGCTCAGTTGCTGACACGAGTTCTTAGCGCGAGCGTGACCAGCCCCTGATTCAGAAACCCAGACGATGCATGAGTAGGCGCACGAACTTCTACACGCGTGCGTTTCAACACTCATGCATTTCATGCACGTCAACGTGTGGGCATCAGGTGCTTATTTCCATCTTACAACCAGAACCTAAAGCGGACATCGAGCCGCTAATTTACACCGTTAGGTGAGCTTGGGGCGTCTCTGAGCCAGCGACTGACAGGAATCAAAATTTTGACAGAGTTATGGGTGCAGCTTTTAATTTAGACAATTTTGATTAACATTAGGTCAATTTTTGTTTAAAACTTCATATATTTTGTACAGCAGTCTAGCAATTTATGAATAATTTGTGCAATAGAATTCTTAAACATCATACTTCTTTTTTTTTTAATATACTAATTCTCCGTTTAAAATATACTGAAGAATTATTGGACGGCGATCGTTGGACATTGTATCGCCACTGAATCTTCGTCCAACGTTTTAGAATGGGTGAACCTTCGTTAATTGAAGGATTTTCTGCTCTTGATTGTGAAGGACGTTGCTGAATACTGTGTGTTTATTGATAAGGCCTTAATAGGCCTTAAAGATGGGCCATAAGGTCTTAATGAGACTTGAAGACGGGCCACAAGGCCAGCATGAGACTTGAAAACGGGCCATAAGGCCTACATGTGCCTTGAAGAAAGGCCAAATGGCCTAAAAGGCCTTGAAGATGGGCCGAAAGGCTTTAACAGCCCTTAAAGACCAACGTCCTCAAACTTAGGTCTATTTTATAGGACAGAAATCGACCTCCTTATCCATTTAAGTCTCCCCTCCTGATGTTAAAGTGATTAAATCCATGATAATTTGCGGGCCTCTTTCTTGCAGGCCTAGATTTGCATAGCGATAGAATAATTGTCTCATGTTTTAATGAGAACAATTGGTGGGAAAAACTGTAAAAAATAATGATAAGTGAGTTCAGAAGTTTCTTACCAAGGAAAAAAAGGCGCTACTACAAATATGGATCTTGTATCTTCAAAAGGAACACTATGAACATGGATCTTTCATCCACAAATGTATTACTCTTACATTGATCCTAAATAGTTTAAGGTAGGGGTATGAGCAAACAACTTAACTAGCTCCAACTATTATAATGAACAGTAGCAGAGCCGCATATTTCTAGTGCAGATATTTTATACATGAGAATCCTCATTAATTTTTCAAGGCTCGTAACAATTTACTGATTGCACAATAATTGATTCGAGGAACGCTATTGCAATATTTATGGTGTCATTTCTAATTGAGGTAATGAAGGTATAACATTCAATATTGCGTCTTAAATTCACCTGCGAAATTAAATTCTTATGATTTTTTCTTGTGAACTTTATAGTTTTTCATAAACATCACCATCACACGGATATTTTTCCATAAACGTCGCCATCTAATAAATAATTTTTTATTAGCATCCTGATTACCGATCGAAATAACAATAAAATGAAGTACATACATGTTTTCTGTCAAGTATACCATTTACATTTGCATTAGCCGACAAGGTTCACTAGGAGAAACTATGGATTAGATGTCATTAACAATTCTTTGATTTCATGTCCTAGCGTTTTCGATGTACAGTAGAATAAAAAAACAATAAAGTTTATGTTAAAAGAAACACACAAATCCGAATCTAATTCCAAACATCAAAGCTCCTGTTCTCACTCAAATGATTTTAATCGTAGAATAACAACTTCATGGGATATTTTTAACAGAATGTATTAAGGTATGACGTGGTGCGTAGCATTGATATGTAGAAGATATTCCCCACAAAGACTAACATTTTACTTGGAATATTTCAATGCCAATAGTTTTCTATAAACACTCTTTAATTCAAAGCAGAACATGCGTTGCACATAAGCATCAAATATATTTTAGAATATTTACCAAAATACTTAACAAAAACTTACAATAATCGCTATGATCATCAATACTTTCCCATAAATACCCACCTATTTAACAAAACATACGCAAACTATGAAAACTTATATGAATTATTTTACAGTTTTATGAAACGAAACGCTTAGTAGCTGAGGAGTTGTAAGTTCAGAACAGAGAAAATCTCGTATATATATAATTATTTATGATAATTAAGTCTAATTGGTCTCGTTATCAGAGCTACAGAGCACGCCTGATAACGCTTAATGTAACTCCCACGACATAGCGACGGGCTGGAGATGTTGAACTGGATGTTGACTGGATGGTGGACTGGATGTTGGACTGGATGGTGGACTGGATGTTGGACTTTTTGGATGTTGCATCTTCTGGATGTTGGACTGAATGTTGGACTTTTTGGATAATGGATCTTCTGGATGTTGGACTTTTTGGATGTTGGATCTTCTGGATGTTGGACTGGATGGTGGACTGGATGTTGGACTTTTTGGATGTTGGATCTTCTGGATGTTGGACTTTTTGGATGCTTGATCTTCTGGATGTTGGACTGGATGTTGGACTGGATATTGGACTGGATGTTGGACTGGATGTTAGACTGGATGTTGGACTGGATGTTGGACTGGATGGTGGACTGGATGTTGGACTGGATGTTGACTGGATGTTGGACTGAATATTGGACTGGATGTTGGACTGGATGTTGGACTGGATGTTGGACTGGATGTTGGACTGAATATTGGACTGGATGTTGGACTGGATGTTGGACTGGATGTTGGACTGGATTTCGGACTGGATGTTGGATAATATGGATAATATGTTTAATAAATCAATCTGGTTTGTCTCGCGTTATGATCAATGTTAAAAAGTTGCAACAAAAGCTAACAGCATTCTAATCAATACGTGATATTGTTAACTTCTCATTAATCTCCCTCGATACAAAAAAAAAGACCGTGATTCCAAAATTGCTAAAATGGTTCCTTTTTATGAATATTTTCGGCAGGAACATTTTCGTGGTACGATCAGGAAATTTCACGGAAAAGCATTTGAATTATTTAATTCCACAAACTACGAACTAAAAAGAATTGCATAAACACAGAAAAAGTGAAAAAATCATATTTCGATTGATTTTGAAAATCATGCAAGATGATACATTTTTATTGAATTGTTAACTTACTTTACTGCTAATTACTACATGACTAATAATCAGGACTTTTTTGTAATATCATTCAAGGATAAAGTCAATTATGTATACTTCTTTCACGAGTGCGTGAAAAAGCGTTCACAAAAAGTATCATTTTCTTTGGATCTCGTTGTGACTAACCAACTGCAAAATGTGCAGTTTGGCTAATGATAAGTAAAGATTGAAGGCCCTTTTGTGCATCATACAAGCATCAAAAACAAGATAATTAAGGAATGTGATAATAAAATGATAAACAAATGTCAAATATATGAATAAGCTTAGTTTGAGTTCGGTTTTCGTGCTTGATCTGATAAAGACAACACAAGTTTAATACCGTACAAAAATCTCTCGAAATTCATCTTTTGTTTCTCACATTTTGTGAATTCTGAATTATAACCACAGTATATTCAAATACTGTGGTTAGAATTGTAACCACAAATTCAAATGATGAACTAATTAAAACATTCACATCACGTTACATAAAATTGCTTGCGCGCTCGTCATTCCATGCAACCTTCAAGCGTCAACAAGATGTTGATAAAAAGTTTAATGCATTGCATAGGCGTTAATAATCTCTTAATCAAATGCCATCACATGCTTGATGCTGTCTAGAGCTACAAGAAGGGACAATTTTTGCGAATAAATTGTCTAACAAGAAATCTCCGCTTCTAGGATAAATGTTAGACTATTAATCATCGAAAATAATTGCTCTGCTGTAGCAAATCCTACGCGGATGTTGTATGTCTAAAAATGAATTTTTTTGTCTTTGAATACGAATCGATTTTCGGGTCTTATGTTCAATAAATCCTCCATAAACCCTGTATTTTTATTTTTTATTTTTAATTGATTTTTTGTTCGAGCCTTTGTCTTTGAATTAGATCCATATTTGCGTCTTCCGAATTTTTTTTTCAATTTAGAGACGAGTGTCGTGGATTTTTATAACCACCTTAACACTTGATTGGATAAAAAACTGAAGTTTGCACTGCATAAAGCGATCAGTTTTTCTGGCATTGAATTTATCAGGAATTTTCCTATTTTCAACTTTCTCACCGTAGCACTGATACGACCTTTTGATGCACAATATTGTTACGGCACGATCCACACAAGCGTAAAAAGTACATTGCAATTTGGACAATGATTAACTGGTTTTTATGAGTGTAAATGCTCACGTGAAGGTTAAACTGCTATGCATTCCGAGCGTTGACGGTCTGATATTTACGAGCTGTCGAAAATCCGTAGCCAGGTAGCTTTGTTGATTATTTTTGTTTTCTCTGATCATAAAATAACAGGAGCTAAAATATTATTTAAAAATATCCGCTTTAAGTCTAAAAGTCACCGGTTCTACTGAATATAAGGTGAACCTAAAAGTCACCGGGCGGATGTAATGATTATACGAAGAGTAAAAAGTCACTGGCCGGTTTAGGTAAATGGTGAATAGTGAAGTGTAGATAAAAGCCACCGGTTTGAGCGGGAGACATTTATTTACACGAACAACATTGAAGTATATCAACATCCAGTTTTTAGCTGCACTTTACCGTGTAGGTAATGAGAGCGTGTGCAAGGCCGAATTTTCTGGAAAAACCAATTCCCGATCATTCAATATGCATTGACAGCTTCACCATGAAAATTTCCGTATCTGGATGAATCTCTTGAATGAATCCAACACATATTTAGAAAAAAGGGCTTAGTTATATTGTCCAAATAGTGACACACTATCTCTTCAGCGCTAAAATTGACAGTTTCACTCATTTCTCTGAGTGCATCCCATAAACTGCACCGACCGAGTCATCATGACCTACTTATGATCGAAAGTTCTATCGATAGCCCTAAAATAAAATAAAATAAAATATAATATAAAATATTTTAATTACGAACTTCCAGGTGCGTGTATATCAACCCCTAATTAATATTAATATACTGTTATATATTCATTAAACTATAATACAATATAATATATATAATATTATAGGCATGTGAGAAATTAGATGTGAATCTTCCGCGTCAGAACATCAAAACGTGAAATGCATAAGCGTATTTTAGGAATATTTAAATGGAAAACTTGAGTTTATTGTTGAGTTAATGGAAGATTATTCCCAAGAATTTGAAGGATTCCAGATCTAACTAAAGTTTTATCATATAATTTTTCATACGATTTGAAAAAATGGCTAACATTCGTCGAACAGCTTTGTCACATTGCAATAATGAATTATTATGTACGTTCGGAGAAGTGACCATCAATAAAAAAATGGTTAAAATAAACTCCTAAACTACAGTTAGAAAAAATAGTTAGCAAAGCTCGGCAAAGCGGTCCAGTGGTTGAAGTTCAGAGCAAAATTTTAGCAGTGAGTTACGGGTTCGAGACCGGCAACAAGCAAGTCATTGGCACCGAAAGTTAATGTTGAGCATTTAATTCCGCAAAAAATTGCGTTCAAAAATTCAAAAAAGCTAACACTCTGCGCATTAAATTAAGTGCTGTGCCGTTGGCACTGCATAGCTGGACTTTGTCAGAAAAATCCACACAATGACCAAAAGTGCATAACTATTTGGATAAAGTCTCACACATTTTTCTGAGTGTATGGGTCAAGTCTCCAGGGCCTTTACTTTAAAAAAAAGTTAAGAGATCGTAAGTTCATCAGCCAATTATTGACGGCCTTTCAAGCAAAATCCACCAATCATAGACAAGAAAATATAGCGTAAGTAGTTACGTTCACATAGCGAGTTTTGAAAGTATGGTCCCTGGTCTTCTGCAAACGTATTTTCCGTACCCGTGGGAGGCGACGGGGTGCCATATCATGAAATTAAATATCCTCTGCAGGACTTAATGCACATGAACTCTGAACTCAAGTGAATGTACAAATAGTAAATACACAGGAACACAGTGACGCTGGAGATACGTAACGACTCCGACACGATTGTTAGCCGTTGGTAACGCACAGCGTAATTGTTAGCCGTCACCCAATACCCGGCGAATTTCTTGTTGGGAAAATCGAAGAGTAAGATTAAATTTCTCTCCGAAATCTTGCTGAGTTGAAAGGTCGTCTAAAATTCAACACGTGGCAGGGCTCTCTCTCTTGAACAAGCAAGGTTTTCATTAAACTTTAATCAACATTTCTTCAATTTATTCGCATTTTTGGATTATAATGCCATCCACACATCTTTTCACTTGCGAATTATTCTTCTATGGAACTCCAAACATTTATCCATTTCTTCCTTTTCTTCACACTTTGTCATTAAACTTCTTTGAAAGCTATAAACATTGATGCATTATAATTTTTTTGTAACCATTTTAAGTTTTCTTTGCTTTTAAGTTTTTAGTGAATTTGAGATTCACGCAAACGAGTGACATTATTACTTATATATTTTTTCGGCGCTTATATACTTTTTAAAGACTCGATTGTAATAGAGTGTTAAATGTTGTAATACAGTGTTTTGTGTTGTACTTTGGAGTTTCGTTTTCGGAAAATCTTCATATCATTGAGCCGTTAACTAGGTCTTTTTTCGACAAAGGTTTACAGTTAGACGTTTGAAATTTCTGGAGTAATTAGTTTTTACAAACGGTTCCTTATGACAATATGAAATTGTCACAAATCTACCATATGAAATTGCCACGTAGCTGCCATATGAAAATAGCCACGAAGCTGCCGTATGAAATTGCCACGTAGCTGCCATATGAAAATAGCCACGAAGCTGCCGTATGAAATTGCCACGTAGCTGCCATATGAAAATAGCCACGAAGCTGCCGTATGAAATTGCCACGTAGCTGCCATATGAAAATAGCCACGAAGCTGCCGTATGAAATTGCCACGTAGCTGCCATATGATTTTGTCATGAAGCTACCATATGAAATTGTCAAGCGCTTAAATATGTAAAACATTCACTAATTTCGTAGTTGCTATTGTGCAAGTAAATGTGGGTGAATGACATAATAGACAATTTTATCATCACCGTAAATGTTACGATGTTAATAGCTATTTCTGAAGTCCTTGTAAGCATCGCCTCTAAAGAAAAAAGTTTACGATAAAAGCGACTTAACATCAAATTCAAAATTATTTATTATACGGCACCATTGAATCCGCATAACTTCTTATAATGGTACCTCCTAAAACACTTATAATTGAAATCCTTATAAGTCGGAATAATCCTGATCTCTACGATGCATTTTTTTTTAATCTGGGTAAATTAAAGTGAAGAATATGCAAATGAGCTCGTGAAGAATGTGTATATATGTCTATTCGGACCACTATTATAGGAATAATGAGAACCACCAGCCGGTCATTAACTATTCTAATCAAAGCGAACTTGACATGTAAGTTGCTATGTGATCCAATTCTTTCTTACGCTGAAAATATAAAAGAGTGAAAATAGTAAAATATTGAATTAACACCGTCTCAATCGAAGAAAAAATTTTAACTAAATTACAAATGTTCTGAAAATATGCACACAAATTTTTTACTGCAGAAAGCATAACACGTTATTGGACGAAAATTCAAATTTTTCATTGGGCATTGACGTGTATAACAATTGTCATTCGAATGTAACCTTTAATTGCTTGTTAATTTAGAATAATCAACCTACATCCATGATAATAACGACAGATTTTAACATGAAA